TTTTTAATTTTCTGAGGAACCTCCACACTGTTTTCCAGAGCGGCGCAGCACTAATTCTTCCAGACATTTGCCCTCCTATGGGCAGCCCCTCATTTAATTACCGCTGTCACCCCTGTGCTGGCCACAGGAGGGGGCTGTTCCTCCTTGGTTCTCGAGTGGAGTGCAAGCCCAGAATGTAATAGCGTGACCTTCATTCCCTGTGGCACAGTCAAAATAAGAATGGAAAATTTAGACATGACTTCGCTAAATTCTAAAACAATACAGAGTAACATGATACTATATAATCTCAGTTATGAGATTTAGATGCTCTTATAGCCTTGGCTTTTAAACAATTGTTGATCACTACCCACAGTAAGAAATAGCTTACCTTATGATCTATCTACTACACACATACTAACTGAAGCAACTTTCACTGAACAGTATTTACCGCAGTTACATGTGATGCTGGCTCTTCTCTGTTCTCTTCAGATGCTGATATTTTTACTCACTAAGTTGATACCGTGATTCACTGGCCCCCTTGCAGTTTGAATAACACTGCCTTACTAGACTGCATGCTTAACTCTTAGCCAAAATCCTTGTGTCAAGGTCATTTCAACCACTGCCACTTAAGAGTAGCCTTCAGGAATCTTGGACTGCTTAGAGGCTAAACCAACAAACAGAAGCCTAGAGAGAAATGTTTGTTTTTTTCTGCTTCTCTGAGCCCTGCTTTTTGTGTTCTAGTTTCTTTTCTCAAAGTGAGCTTTTCCCCTGAAGATTGATAGCAAGAATGTCCACCCCTTTCTGGGCAAACCAAGCCTGCCTGAAAGGTCTTGATGTCGCCTTGCAGGATGGGCCTGCTTTCAGCACAGCATGGGGCAGAAAGAGGCTCTAGTACTTGGTCTGGTGGAGGCAGGCACATTGGCAGAAGTGAGCCCGGAAAGTCCCAGCAGTGAGAGACGAGACGGGAGAGCTGTTGTGTTATAGCTCAATCCACTGACTGATACTCAGCACTACTCAACCCATTTTGAACAGATTGAATATTCATTGTTTATTGACAAACTCTTTGAAAAGCTGTGAAGTACTAAGCAAAACTCAACTTACTTGTGTCTCCTTACATAATTTGAAAGTGCTATATGTAGCTTTCCATTGTAACGGAAAAATGTTGCTTGGAAAAATTACCCCTCCATAAGCTATCACCCATTGTTTGCTAATTCACATACAGTCTGTATACAGCACCATACTTATCAACTCTAAATTTCAGCATGGTGAGAAATTTAGTTACATATAAGGAATACAAAATAGTTTATGAATTTTTATAAATATTAATCTCTTTGGCATTGTAGAAGCATAAGCATCCTGATGAATGACTGTAGACTTTTTCATATGAATGCTTTGAGGCGATATAGATATACAATGATACATATAGTAGAAGGTTAGAACAGTTACCTTATTTTGCCCTAATGTAAACAGTGGAGTGCTAATAATGTTGTTAGCCTTAAGCAGTCAACATTGAATAGAAAGAAGGGTGTATGTATTAGCTTAGCTAATTTTAATCCAGATCACTGAGATTCATAACATGTTGAACCTGTGGAGTTGGTACCTAGATGGTGGTTAACTGGGCTCTCTTAATAGTAACTCCCTTTAGTCAGGGAACACTGACAGATGATTATCTGTCATCTTACTATAGAGTTGAATATACTTTGGCCTGAAATGTCATCAGTACATGGTGCAACTGAGCAGGAAAGATCAAGCTAATTAACAGAAGGATTTCATTTTGGGGGTCCTGAAAAATTCTATTGTTATGAAATGCTTTTGTTGTAATGAATTGAATACAAAATCTAAAAACCACAAATTCTTCTGTTTAATTTTTTTCATTGTCATGTACCTTGACTCTACATTGCTAAAGCCTTTGAGAACTTTAAAATCTATTTTCTACTGCTCGTGTGAACATTTTAGTATACACTATCCAAATAACAATAAGGTAAAAAAGCCAAAGAGAATAACATGTAAAAACTATGATTAAAAGTGAGATTTGTGTGAAAAGAAACATCAAAGAGTGTGCTGATACTACGCATCAACATATTTTATGAGAGACAGTATTAGTGTTTTCTCCTGAGGTCAGATTCCTTCAGAAAAAAAAAAATCTTTATTATTTAAAAAAAAATGATGATGTGATAGGTCTGAACCAAACTTTTCTAACTAAAAAGCATAAATTGAGAGAAGACTCGTTAGGGCCATGTGTCTCTTCAGAATAACAGAAGTATTTTCATATTGATGAAAATAGACACTGTATTTCAAAGAAAATTGTAGATGTAGTTTTTATAGCTTGCATAAGTGTTCTACTGTAATGCTTTTTTTCTATTCTTCTCTTTCCATTTTAGGAGAGCCTCCAGAATCCCCCTTTACGAATTTGGACCAGTAGAAGCTGTCACTATTGGCTCTGTAGATTTGGCTTTACTCTTAACTTTCGCTTTTTGACAACAAAAATATCTCATGATCTTGACTCTAAGTTTATTTTTTCCTACTCTGAAAGCATTTGGGGCTGAATTTCGTACTCAAAAAGTAAAGATTTAGTAGCACTGGCTGGAGCTCTGTACCGTGCAGGAAGATTCTGTGCAAACATCTTTGCATAGTTCTGCCCATGCACCTCCGTGCTGACCTGCAGTGTCCCTCATTATCCAACATCTGTGCCATCTTTGAGCACAGAACACAAAAGATACAATTTGGTGTGATTGGTAACATCTCTAAAATTACTATAAAGATTAGAGTGAGATCCAAGTATTTGTCCAGTGATCTAAAACAAAAAGTAGATTCATAGATGGTGAAAGGGAAAACCAGTGCTGCTATGGAAAAAGAAAAGAAAAAGAAAAACCTTTGATATATCTCAGATGTCAGTAAATATTTATTCTGGACATTTCAAAAGGCTTCGAGGTGTTTTGTACAGCTGTTTGTATCAGCTCAGCTGCTACGTCAGTGGTTTTCCCTTTCACTCTCCATTTATCTTTGTGATTGGTTAACTAATATAAATATTTTTATTCTAAAAAGTGAAAGGTAAAAGCAGAGCTATAGCAGCTGAGTCAGTACTGACAAGTACAAAACCAATGTTCCTGCAGGGGTCTGGAGGAACTTCTGATGCTCAGTAAACTTAGACGAAAGAGAAGACTTGGCTCTTTTCTTTTTCTTTGTTCCTTTCTTCCTTTCCTTTTTAAAAATTTGGCCTCATAGATTTTCACCATCTAGTTTGATGTTATCAAATGGTCATCCAGAACTTTTTTTTTTAATGACAACAGACAAAATAGCAAGTCTTAATTTAAGCTTTTAAAGCACATCTACAAATACTTTGCTCAAAGAGAAAATAGTTTTATGCCAAGCTCAGCCTAGAAAATGTTTGTTTTAGTCATGTGAGCAACTCTTCAAGTTGAAACTGTTCAAGTTGAAACTGTTCTTATTAAACGTATAGCTCAAAATATGGTTTCTTTGGCCATACTTTGTTTCCAAAGACAGGTGGAAATTATAGAATTTCAGCCTATTAATACTGTTCTTCTCGTGCAAAAAAAAAAAAAAAGCATTTGAAAGATCTTCTAGATTACTTTTTTCAAATTATAGATGAAAAAAATTGAGACTCAGAGAGGTTATGTGACAGCACCTCTACCAGAACCTAAGGTGTTTGGCTCTTAGCCTGATCATGTTGCCTCTCTGATGATATTTGTCCACCCACATAAAAGTTTGCGGGCTTTTCCGTAAGTATTCCTAATGCCATTACTAGGTGTGTGCTGACTTAGTCTTTCCCAATAATAATAGAGCTCAAGGGATCATATCAACTGACACTGTTCATCCATTTTCCTTAGGAAGCTACTCATGCCACAGAGGTGGAGTTGTTGTATGGCTTTTTTCCATACATGCCCCCAAAGGAGTGCCAGAGTGCAAGAATTTCCTTTATAGGATTAGTAGAACCTATTAACACATTTCTGCTGTAGCCTAATGTTTTATGTATATTTCATTCTTGTGAAATACTTGTTTATATCTAACATACAGTCAAATGTAAAGCCAGTTTTAAAATATATCCGAGGCAAATATTAAAATGTATATTCCAATCCTTGAAGGCTCTGATTCTACTCTGTAGGCAAATGTGAAACTGTTTGATGAGCCTATATAATCTACTTTTTTAAAGGTATATAATTCTGTATATACAGAAAGGTATATAAATTCTGTGTATTCATACTTAGCATTTATCAAAGAGGTAGTTGCATGTATGTGTGTTCATATAAGCACTAAGTATGTGTTGAATTAATAAATGAAGATCTTAAATGAACCTGGTCCAGGTAAAAATAGAGACTCATCAAGAAAAAATTACTCTTGCTCATATATTCTCGAAGAAATTTTAATCACAGTTCATTATCCAAACCAATAAGTTTTATTCTTGACATAATAAATCTGGAAGCCTATTGAATAGATGCCTTAGAAGTAAGAAGGAATATGTAGCATTTATGCAGATACCGGGGATTTCTTTTTACTGGTTGTGGAAGTAGTATTTTAGTGATAACACTAAGTAGCAACATGGTCCCATTATTTTAATATCTCAATACCTAAATTATGAATTTGTGTGGCTCCGCTAAAATCCAAACCTGGAGTCTCCATTGTCTGAGATCTTAACCTCAGCCTACCTTGCATATTCGATGCCTTTTATTATTGAAACTCTGATACTCTAAAACAAAATAACTCTTCTGCGTGTAATGCATGTCATTTGTGTGGGCTGTATACAATGTTATTTATGCCACACCAAATTTCCTTAAGTACCAAATGACAGAACACATACTCAAAGGAGACAAACCTTGAATGGTGTGAAAAAGAGAGATTACAAACAGTGCCCATATCTAACAGCATCAAATATTTCGTTTTGGCTAATTTCCCTCTTACAATTCTACATAGATCTTAAGTTTAAAAAACTTTGCAAAACATATCATAGTAAGCTTTTATTTTTGCCCCCAAAATAATACCGCTTTCCAAAGACTGTATTTATTTTATATTCCCCACTAACATAGTCAGATTGATTTCTGCTTTCCTTCTAGATAGAAGAGCTCGAAAAGCAGTTAGTCCTTGCCAACTCTGAGCTAACTGAGGCACGGACAGAACGTGATCAGTTCAGTCAGGAATCAGGAAATTTGGACGATCAGCTTCAAAAGCTGTTGGTAAGACTATGCTCTAAATATGAATGAGATTAATTCTAGGAAGTTTCTCACCAAAATGTTTCATAAAACTGGTTTTATTTATTAAATTACAAATTTTACAAAACATTTGTGCATACATACACAACAGAATATCTTGACATTATTCAAGTTTTGAATATAAATGTTCTAAACTTTACCTATTTTGTTTTCCTTAAGCAGAACTGTTAAAGCTTATAAATTAGGTGAATCTAGTCTTCAGTTGACCCATCTTTTAATTAGATAAATGTGTTCTACTAAACTGAGGTAGTATGGAGTGTTTGTTTTCAAGCCAAATAACATTCAAAACACAGACGCGTGTGTACAGAAAATTTGAATGGAAGTTGAGGTTAAAAAAAATTATTTTAAAGAAAGGAAATAGGATCCCAATAGTAGTGAAGCAACCTGTGCCCTCTGTCAGAGGTACTGTAGGGTAAGAAATTTAGGAAAGGAGATGTTTGGTATTCCTATATGTGATATTGGCAGTACAGTAGAATACACTTCTCACTCCCAGACCCCTCTGTAGGGTATAGTGCCCTCTGCTGGTGGAGCCGTCCTTCATAGGCTGACAAGGGGTTTGAGGAGCAAACGTTAAAGGTAGAGTCGGCAGCTGTGTGTGACCAGCTCCAAACCTTGGGATAGTCCTTCACATCTTTCCCTCCTATTGCGTGTGTCCCCAAGTCCTCAGATCTAATTTGAAAATCTTGCAGATTTTTTGAAAGACCTTGAAAACCCTCCCCTCCTTTTCATTCTTACCACCACTACCCCTTGGTCCAAGCCCCTCATTCAACCTGGAGCAGGGCAACGTCTCCTTACTAGGGTTCCTACCTCCAGCTTTCCCCCTCCTCGGTCTGGCCTGTAAAGTGCTGCCATACTCATCTTCTAAAATATCACTCTGATCATGTCACTATGACTCCAAAATTATTTTCCCCATAAAAGTCAGACTCTATCTATACCTTTCAACCTGTTCATAATCTGACGACAGCTTACCTTTCTGATCCTTTCTCTCTACATGCCCCCAGTACTCCAATCAAATCACACATCCACCTTTCCAGTCCCTTCTTCCTGATCTCTGCATTTCCAAGCTGGTCATAAGGTCCGACTCAAATGCCTTCTTGAAGAATTTTGATCTCCTCAGTGATTTCTTTCTGTTTTTGCTTAGCTGGGTCTCTCTTTTTAAATTATTTATTTTAGAGAGAGAGTGTAAGCGGGGGGGGTGGGAGGAACAGAGAGAGGGCGTCAGAGGATCAGAGAGAGAGGGGCTCTGACAGCACAGAGCCCAAAATGGGGCTTGAACTCATGAACCAGGAGATCATGACCTGAGCTGAAGTCAGATGCTTAACTGAGCCACCAGGTGCCCTGCTTAGAGACACCAGGTGTCTCTTTAATGACAAACCACTTCCAGTTTTTTGTGTCTGTGTCTTACTTTTTCCTTTGTCTTTGTTTCTCCCATTATACTGAATTTTCGCTGTCAGTAAACACTATGTGTTTTTTTTTCGCTGTGGAAGAGGAACAGAATTCTGTTCACAGCCAACTGCTACTCCCCTCTCAGTACCAAACGCTGTTCTGCCATTTCTGAAGCAGTTAACCAAAGACTGTTGCTATTCTTTCAAGCTTTTGAACATTTCTTTATTACAGGAGCACACTTGGTGTGAGGCATAATGCCTTTGCTAGAAAACCCAAACCTTGGGGCGCCTGGGTGGCGCAGTCGGTTAAGCGTCCGACTTCAGCCAGGTCACGATCTCATGGTCGGGAGGAGTTCGAGCGTCATGTTGAGCTCTGGCTGATGGCTGAGCTCTGGGAGCCTGGGAGCCTGTTTCCAATTCTGTGTCTCCCTCTCTCTGCCCCTCCCTCTGCCCTCCGTTCATGCTCTGTCTCCTCCCAAAAAATAAAAAAAAAATAAACGTTGAAAAAAAAAAATAACGTTGAAAAAAAAAAAAAAGAAAACCCAAACCTTAAAAACAGGATGACTTTAAAAATCTACTGTGTTCTCCTTTTAGTTTTATATTATTTGGGGACTAGTCCATTGAGGTTTACTTGTGATGCTAGAAATTACAAGTAAGCGAACTGCTACCATGTTCTTCTAGGACATAGTTGTCCTTAAGCCATTAAAAAAAAATAACAAGATTCCAAAACCAGAGGCTTCTCAAATCATATAAAAATTCCAAAGATGATATAAGGAAAATAAGAGTTTTTCTTGAATTATTTAATACAAATCGGGGGACACACCTCACTTCTTGTAGGCTGATCTGCATAAAAGAGAGAAGGAGCTGAGTCTGGAGAAGGAGCAGAATAAGCGGCTGTGGGACCGGGACACGGGCAACAGCATCACCATTGACCACCTGCGGCGGGAGCTGGATGATAGGAACATGGAGTTGCAGCGCCTGGAAGCCCTCCTCAAGGCCATGAAGAGCGAGTGTCAGGGCCAGATGGAGCGGCAGGTCAGGCACGGCCCGGGATGGCTTCCCCAGGCTCTTCTCAGGGAAAAATGTGTGTTGGTAGAGCCTTAAAAAAAAAAAAAAAAAAGTATGGGCCTAGGAACAGCTCTGAAATAGAGCTATGGATTCTTTGAGCAAGTCATAAAAACCTGTTGCTTATTTCTATATTTTTGACCACTGATTAAATTAAAATGTTAAGCTTTATCTCTTTTTCGTTCATTGTTGAGTAATGAAATTCCCATCCAGTTGCTTTTTATTTTCACGTACACATTGGCAACCTAATAGTTGCTTATTTCAGAAAAGCGTCAAACCATAGGGACATCTAGGGAACAGCAGGGTTGAAGGTTTCCAACATGTCTTCTGGTTTTGGTTTTCCCCTAAACTGATTGGTGCGCAAGATGTATCAAGACTGATAGATGCACAAGATGGTTGCACTGCATTTCAGTGCGGCAGTAACAAAATGTTGAATGCTTTATTAACAGCACCATACCTTTGGTACCGAAGGGACATGGTTCCAGGGCCACTTATTGCCACAGAGACATAAAAAGCATCCCACAAAAGACTAAGTTCCCCCAAATGTGAAAGCAAACCAAAGAGACCAGTCTTGGCTTAAAATCCAGGCAAAGCCATTTTCCTACTCTTTGGCCCAAGCTGGGCAAGAAGAAAGGTGACAGGAGACACTGGGAGTTAGATTCTTAACTCTTTTCCAAACAAGACCTGAGAAGGTAAGTGCATGTTGCATACAAGCCGTCACTCACTTTTCCCTCAGGGGTAGAATTAAGGGGCACATTGGAGGGAAATCGTGAGGAAGGGCAGTTATCATCCTACCGTGCTTCCCCCTATCGCCAGTGCTATCCTAAGTTAAATTGTTACAGAAAACATCCTCAGAGGAAACTTCCCAAGCTCCCACACTAGAAAGCCATTCTGAAGGAGCACTGTTACTTAATGAAGTTCTCTCCACCTTGGTCTAATTACCTGTATTTGGTCTGTGGCCTGTACGGAGTTCTGGCAGCAAAACAATTTGAGTTAGTCTAAGTAGATATTATGAGTCATGATTTCATGTTTGTGAGCTAGCTTGTTATATCTCTTGAGGGTGCCTCTACCTATCCCCAAATCCATGAAATTTTCTTTAACAATCAGATGGCGGCAATTCAGGGAAAGAATGAAAGTCTAGAAAAAGTGTCCTCCCTGACTGCTCAGCTTGAATCCACCAAAGAGATGCTCCGAAAAGTGGTCGAAGAGTTGACCGCCAAGAAAATGACCCTGGAGAGCTCAGAGAGGACCGTTTCAGACCTGACAGCTTCCCTCCAGGAAAAAGAGAGAGCCATCGAGGCTACCAATTCGGAGATCACAAAGCTGCGCTCCCGGGTGGACTTGAAATTGCAGGAACTGCAGCACCTTAAGACGGAGGGAGATCACCTCAGAAACGTGCAGACAGAGTGTGAGGCCCTCAGGCTCCAGATGGCAGAGAAGGACAAGGTGATCGAGATTTTGCGACAGCAGATCGAAAACATGACACAGCTGGTTGGCCAGCATGGACGAACGGCTGGTGCCATGCAAGTGGAAAAGGCTCAGCTCGAAAAGGAGATCAATGATAGGAGACTGGAGCTACAGGAATTCAAGGTCTGTAGAGATTTTTTTGTGGCTTAGCTTCTGAAATAGCTTTCCCCTCATTAAGGAAGTTTGACTCAAGTCACTGAAGAGGGGCTCTGTGAAGAGGGCCTGTGAACCCTCTGAGCTTGTTTGAAACTAATTGTGTCTGAGTGCATCTGTGTGTTTTTGTGAGAAAGGATCCATACTTTTATTAGATTCCAGAAGGAGTGGGTGGCCCCAAACTGGTTCAGGACTACTGATATGAAAGAGAAAAAAAATCAGAAAATCCAGGTTCCTCATGAAGCCATTTCTGATTCCACAGTTTGAAGTATTTTCTCCCTCTTCAGATAGACCCATGTTTGAATCCCATCTCTCACCACTCAATGACTATAAAACACTGCATTGTTCACTAAATCTTGGCCTCCATATCTGTAAAAAAAAAAGAACAGCTAACATATTTTGTAGTTTGAGTTTCAGTTGTGCAATATAGTGATTCAGCACTTCCATACATCACCCGATGCTCATCACACCAAGTGCCCTCCTTAATCCCCATCACCCATTTAACCATCCCCCTCATCCGCCTCCCCTCTGGTAACCATCAGTTTGTCCCCATACTTAAGAGTCTGTTCTTGCTTTGTCTTTCTCTCTCTCTCTCTCTCTTCCCCCCCCCTTTCTTTTGTCAGATTCCACATATGAGGGAAGTCAGTATCTGTCTTTCTCTGATTTATTTTGCTTAGTGTGTAATACTTTCTAGCTTCATCCATGTCATTGCAAAATGGCAAGATTTCATTCTTTTCATGTCTGAGTAATATTCCATTGTATGTATATTTCACATTTCTTTATCCATTCATCAATCGATAGACACTTGGGCTGTTTCCATAACTTGGCTATTGTAGATCATGCTTCTGTAAACTTCGGGGCGCATGTATCCCTTTGAATTAGTATTTTTGTATTCTAAATTTTTTTTTTGTTTGTTTATTTTGAGATAGAGCATACAAGTGGAGAAGGGGCAGAGAGAGAGAGAGAATCCCAAGCAGGCTCTGCGCTGTCAGCTCAGAGCCCAATGTGGGGCTCAAACTCACAAACCTTGAGATCATGACCTGGGTTGAAACCAAGAGTTGGACGCTTAACTAACTGAGCCACCCAGGTGCTGCTAGTATTTTTGTATTCTTTGGGTAAATACACAGTAGGGCAATTGCTCTATGTAGGGTGGTTCTATTTTTTTTTAAACTTTTTGAGAAACTTCTGTACTGTTTTCCACAGTGGCTGCACCAGTTTGCATTCCCACCAACAGTGCTTGGTGGCAGAAGTTGTGCATGTGCATTTTTAACCCACTTTAAAAGACTGGGATTTCTTGAACAGGTGCTGGCAAGGATGTGGATAAAAAAGAACCCTCATGCATTGTTGGTGGGAATGCAAACTGGTGCAGCCACTGTGGAAAACAGTATAGAAATTCTTCAAAAAGTTAAAAGTAGAACTACCCTATGATCCAGAAATCTTACTACTGAGTATTTACCCAAAGAATACAAAAACACTCATTCAAAGGGATACATCCATCCCTGTATTTATGGCAGCATCATAAATATATAAATAATACATATTGATGAATGGATAAAGAAAATGTGATATATACATACAATGGAATATTACTCAGCCATAAAAAAGAATGAAATCTTGCCATTTGCAATGACACGGATGGAGCTAGAGAATATTATGCTAAACAAAATAAGAGAAAGACAAATATTATATGCTTTCACCCATATGTAGAATTTAAGAAACAAAATGAGAAAGGGGGGGCGGGAAGAGACATACAAAGCAAGAACAGACTCTTATGTAAGGAGAACAAACTGATGGTTACCAGAGGGGAGGTCGGTGGGTGATGGGTTAAATAGGTGGTGGGATTAAGGAGAGCACTTGTCATGATGAGCACTAGGTGTCATAGGCAAGTGTTGAATCACTATATTGTACACCTGAAACTAATACAATACTATATGTTAACTAACCGAAATTAAAATTAAAAAAAAAGAAAATAAAAAAAAAAGAAAGGGGTACCTGAGTGGCTCAGTCGGTTGAGCATCTGACTTCGACTCAGGTCATGATCACATGGTTTGTGAGTTTGAGCCCCAAATTGGGCTCTCTGCTGTCAGAGCAGATCCTGCTTTGGATCCTCTGTCCCCCTCTCTGCCCCTCCTCCACACGCGTGCACTCTCTCTCGCAAAAATAAACATTAAAAAAAAGAAAGAAAGACAAAGAAAAGAACAAACAAAAAGACCCCCAATAACTTTACTTGGTTACTAGAGGCTTAAATGAGAAAATATGTATCAAGGACTTAGCCTAATTCCAGGTCTACAGAAGATGTTTAGTAAATGTTCCCTTCCCCCATCCCATTCTCCTTCAGAAGCTTATCGCTCTTTATCTCTATCTGTCATAACCTGGTCACATTCTCTGTTGCACTGAGTGGGTTTAAACAGCAGTGTCCCCTCATCCCCATAAGACAGCAGACTCTTCAAAATAGGATACACATCTTTTTCATTTTTGTACCCCCTGCCCTGTATTTTTATGCATTGCACCCAGCAGGTACCCAAATATATGATTGGATGAATTATTGTAAAATTTGATATCCCAAGCTTTACATCACCTGTATCTCTGACTTGGTGAGTAAAAGGAGACAAATCACATAAACCTTAGATGACTCAGTTTCCTCATTCTAAAAGTAGGGCCAATGATAGTTACTTAATCTTATAGAAATATACAGGTTCATTGCATAAAGAACTGTGCTTAAGTTTTCTTGATTATAAAATTGTTTTGATTTCCTAGTATTTAAGTTTTTACTTGATTATATCATGAGGATATTTTATGATGGTCAAATTCACCATGAAAGAGATTTATAAAGGCTTCTCAATGGCCAGTGTTTACAATGAAAACTTTAGATAGGTTTACAGACCTACTAGAGGAGAAAAGAAGATTGTTGTACCTTTTGTTAAGGAAAAAAGAGACTTGTACCCTATAATTGTTGAGTCTTATACCCTAAAAATTAAATTTAATCTTCACAAAAACCTAATGAGGTGGGCATGTTGTTATCCCATCTTAAAGATGCGGAAGCTGAGACAGAGAGACTCAATAACTTACCTGAGAGCAACACTACCTTGGGATTTGACCCTAGGCAGTCTATGAGTAAATATTATATAGGGCAGTGCTTCTCAGTCAGAACCAGAGTCACCTGGAGGGCTTGTTAAAACACAGACTGCTGAGCCCCACCCCAGGGTTTCTGATACAGTAGGTTTAGGATGAGGCCGGAGACTCAGTGTTTTTAGATACATTTCCAGACAGCACACATCACCTTCTAGTATCAGAGTGGCCCCAGAGCAGCGTGGATCTCTGTGACCGCGGTGGCTCATGAAGACTTCATAGAGAAGCGGGGACTTGAAATAGGCAAAGAGGAGGAATGAGGTATTTCTAGGAAGGGGAAGTTCAGTGTGTGCTTCAGCCTAGAGATGGTGTGAGAGCCATTAAGGGTTTTGGATAGAGAGGAGGAGGTGACACGACAAAGGCCATGTTGGGGTAGATTAACGGGGCAAAGTTTGGACAGAGAATTCAAAGATAGATCGGAGAGGGTGGAAACTAGTTTTCAGTTCCCAAATGTGGAGCAGGAGCAGCTTCAGGGAAATTCCTCCAGTGAGAAGAGCTTCACACAGGCACAGAGGATGTAGGTAGAAACCTGAGCTTTACTGCCACAACCATTTCCCTCTACAGCCCAAGCAGCAGAAGGGAGGGGAATCCGAGCCCCAGAACGTGTGGTTTCTCTCACCTCTTCAGGCTGGGTCCTGCACACACTGACAGCACAGAACCAGGATGAGCTGTGGGCCCTCAAAGCCGGATCCTTTCTGAAAAGGCTAAGAAAGGACTGAAAGTCCATCAGCTGATTCCATGAGGTGGAACAGGGTAGCATATGCCCAATACATGTGATGCCTCAGGCTGTCCCAGGGATTGTGCAGTGAGAGAGGCCTGTGCTCTCCACCAGTCCTTTCTGAAGCAGCTGGAAGCCTGTTACCTGTTTACATTGCAAACACAGCATTGGCCTCTACGTTGAAACTGCTACTGTACAAACTGCATTAGCTAATATTATATTTCTGGACGACAGGTCTTACTTTGGGGGAACAATCTGGTGACCAAAAAGTAAGTTTTTTTTTTTTTGAACGGTGTTAACTTGGAAGGATCTAAGCCTGCTCTGTCCACTAGAAATTACATGAGCCACATATAGAATTTTTAAATTTTTTAGTAGACACTTGAAAAGAAACAGATGAAAGGACTTTTATTTAACCAATATATGTCAAATACGGTGATATTTTTATATTGCGATCAATGTAACAAATTATTGAGGTGTTTTACATTGTCTTTTAATATGAAGTCCTTGAAATCCAGTGCGTTTTCCACTTGTAGCACATGTCCCCTTAGATTAGCTACATTTCAGGTGCTCAGTGGTCACATGTGGGTATTGCAGACCTAGGTCCTGGTAAGGGGGTTTCATCCTAGGAAGGCTTACCAATACAGAGACCAGTTAAGAGGCAGTTGTAGGAATCCACATGAGAGGCGAGGATAATCTGCATTGCCTAGGGAAGGATTTGGAGAACAGTTGAGTATAAGGGGTTAGGAGAAAGGGACAGACATAGCAGACTTTGAGATTTCAAACTTCAGTGCCTGACTCAGAGTAGGCGGTGCCCCTACAGAAGGATGGGGAAGAAGTCCAGAGAAAAAGCCTTCTGTAAGAAATAGGAGTGGTTTGGTCAGAGTTTGCAGAGGCATACCAAGCTGGGAACTTCTGACAGCTGGAAATGCAAAATCAGACTTTCCATGTTGCTATTACCTGTTTCACCCAAGGACCAGATCCAGCCACCACCGCACTCACTTGTTCTTGCAACTGCCTACTCATTGGTCTCCCTGCTTCCCCTACTACCTCCACCCCCCACTACTGTTTATGCTTCACACAGGAACCAGAATCCTATTTTAAAGTGTTACATCACTCCCATGCTCAAAACTGTCCAACAGCTTCTTATCTCACTCAGAATGAACTCTCACATCCTTACACTGCCTCTAAGGTCAGTCTTACCCACGGCTCCCTCCCTGACTTCATCTCCAACTCCTTTTTTCCCCCATGCTCAGTCCACTCCAGTGTAGAGCAGGAGAAATCCTTCTCCTTCTGTCTTTCTGAAGTCTCGGTTGAACCCCTGAAACCAAGGCAGATCAACAAGAAAAGAACAAACAGAAATTTATTAATACATATATCTCATATATACAAGGGAGAAGCCCAGGGAAATGAGTAACTCAGAGGTGGCTTGGAATTCACTCTTAGGGGCACTTGGGTGGCTCAGTCAGTGAAGCATCCAACTCTTGATCTCAGCTTTTTTTTTTTTTTTAATGTTTATTTTTGAGAGAGAGAGAGAGAGAGAGCACACAAGTGAGGGAGGGGCAGAGAGAGAGAGAGGGAGACACAGAGTCTGAAGTAGGCTCTAGGCCCCAGGCTCCAGGCTGTCAGTTCAGATTCCGACATAGGGCTCGAACCCACGAACCATGAGACCATGACCTGAGGTGAAGTTGGACCAACTGAGGCACCCAGGCACTCTTCAGCTCGGGTCTTGAGCTCATAGTCTCGAGACTATGTTAGGCTCTGCATTGGTGTGAAGCCTACTTAAAACAAAAACAAAAACAAACAAACAAACAAAAAAAAGATTTCAGGCTTAAATACTTAAATATCATCTTTAGCTAAAACAAAGAAGGAGGTGAGAGAGGCAAGTTTTGGGAAGGTGATCAGGAGAACTATGGAGAACAGGGATGAGGTTTGTTTTGCAGATTTAAACTGTGCCTTCCCCATTGATAAGATTCTCTTATAATTTAGAGTCATCCTTTCTTTTGTGGTTCACAGAGGGAGACACCCTTACAAATGGAGACTTCCTTTGTAAATAGAAATATCCCTTAAAGGGCAATTTCTCTGTTTTCAGACCTTCTCCCATGTCTGCTGTTTCTCAAAATAATCAGCTTGAAATAATCTTTACGCCAAAGAAACATGTTTGGGGTGGCAGATTCCAGTCTCCCCCCACTAGCCATTCTGATGGCTGTGCTGTTTCCTGAACACATTCCCTGTGCCTAGAGCTGTCCCCAAGCCTGTAACATGGGTTGCTCCTTCACCTCCCTCTTTGAGGTTTCTGCTCATCAGAGAGGGTCAGGGTCCCCAAGACTACCCCCGGGTTCAAACATTGGCTAGGAGGACTCCCGGGACTCAGCATAGAGTTGTGCCCATGGGTACAGTTTATTACAGTGAAAGAATAGAAGGTAAAATCAGCAAAGGGAAAAGGTACATGGGAGGAAAGTAGGCCCAGGCTTCCAAAACTCCTCTCTGGCAGAGTCCATGCAGGATGTACTTGACTCCTCCAGCAATGAGCTGTGACAGCACACACGTCACATACTGCTAAGGAAGCTCATTGCAGACTCAGTCCCCAGGGTTTTTATACTGGGGACTGGTCACACAGACACCCGTTGCCTGGCAAGTATTCCAGTCCTTCAGAAGGAAAGCGGGTACTCAGCATAAATAATTTTGTCTGCAGAAATGGTTTAGGCGCAGTGAGCTACTCTTACAGTTTGAGTGGGGGACACTCTCCTAAATCCAAGTCCCCAGATACCAGCCAGGGGCCAGCCTTGTTGCAGGCTTTAATAAGAATAGCAGTTGGGTGCTTTTCTACCTGCCAACTTATCTCTTACGTGCAGAGCTCCTCCCCTGCATTCATTCTCTACCCCCTCACCTTCTTTTATTCTTTTTTTAAGTCACTTATTATTAACACTATTAAATATTTGTTACCCTCTGCCACCTCTGACTGGATTGTAAGCCCCGTGGGGACAAGGACATTGTTTGTTTTACTTCCTGTGTTTCAAGACGGGCAAAGGCTAATGAGGCTCCTAGGACACAGAACTCGGGAGGCAAGTGAGGCCTCACCCCAGTCCCTGCCCTGCTGCTGTTCCCAACATGTAAAATAGTTCCTGCCACAAAGTAGGTGCTCAGTACGTTTGTTTTGTGTTTTTTTTTTTTTTTAATGGGGAAAAAAAAAAGGAACATCTGAGTGGCTCAAACACCTGACTCGATCTCGGCTTAGGTAACGATCTCACACAGTTCAGTTCATGAGATTGAGCCCCAAGCGGGACTCTGTGCTGACAGAGAGGAGCCTGCTTAGGATTCTCTCTCTACCTCTGTCTCTGCCCCCACCCCAAGTGCACACGTGCACACTCTCTCTCGCTGTCTCAAAATAAATAAACTTAAAAAAAATAGGGATAAGAATAATGAAGGAGCTACAGCAAATGATACTGGAGATTGACACCTAAGGTTAAAAGGAAGGTAAAATATTCCTTTTGTTTTCCCATTTACTGTTGAGGTTTTATAATAAAATAGAAATTTAATATTGTAGGAAAGAGGGAAAAGATATTAAACATAGATAAGATACTAATACAATGTCAATTATAAGTACATCTACATAATTTTTTTTCTTACTCTGTCCTTTGTATTTGTCCCAATGTTTAGATTTTAAAAGATAAAAAAGATGCAAAGATACGGGAACTTGAGGCCCGAGTGAGTGACCTGGAGCTGGAAAAGGTGAAGCTGGTGAATGCAGGCTCTGAGCGGCTCCGTGCAGTGAAGGACATCAGGCAGGAGAGGGACCAGTTATTAAATGAGGTGAAGACCAGCAGGAATGAGTTGCACAGTCTTTCAGGTACGTTCCTTCGGTTCACGGTCTACTGACCGCTCAGAGCGCTGCCCTTGAGGTCCAGCATGGACGCCAGAGGGTAGCCGCACCTCCCACGTCACCAACAGGGATAATTATGCTGCCCAGAAGTCTTGACGCCTCTCCTAGCAGAGCTCCTGTATCTTGCACTCATTAACTGTTAACATTAGTCACCTCTCAGAGTCCAGGAAATTCTTCACTGTGTTTTCAAGAAAAGGGGGAAGGAAGTGGAAACCTTGAGTCCTTTGAGTCAAATAGCTTGATCAGAAGTTTCATAATGAAGCAACATATGTAACAGACTTGGCATAGATTTCTGGAAAGGAGAAATCTAACATCTTAAATTTAAAACCAAAACACTCCTAGTTCACAATTACTGTGATACAGGTATCATTTACTTCACACACACACACACACACACGCAGAGTCCATGATTCCTGAGCATGTACTAGGCCAGATACTGAGATAGGCCTTAGAAACACAACAGGGGGGACCCCGGCTAGTTGGGAGCCAGACCTCTATAGAACGGGTTAGTACAGCAGATGAGGATCAGTGTGCTGGGTGCAGAAGGGAAGAGTATAGAAAGTCTCCTGTAGGACTCAAACCTCCCCTGCTGAGTCTGAAGGAAGCACTGGGATTTGGCAGGTAAAAAAGAAGTAGAAGGGCAACCCAGGTGGAGAGAACATTATGGGCTAAAGCATGAGGCATGAAATAACAATATGACCTCAGAAGTAGTTGAGTATTTGAGGCACGAAGGCTAAGGTATGAGGCAGAGTAGATAGGCAGAGCCAGACAGTGTGGAACCAGCAGAAGACATTAAGCAGGAGATTATTGTCATCTAACATATTTTGGAAGGACAGTGTCAGCAGGTAGAGAAAGGCCAGGGGCCAGCCAGCCCAAGAGGGTCTTGCAATGGCCCCAGGAGCTATGAGAACTTGAACCAAGGCAGTGGCGGTGAGAATGAGAGGAAGGATTAGAGTATTTTGGCAGTTGAACAGCAGTACTTAGTGATTAGAGGGGTTATGTGTGGCCTTCAGGTTGTAGGTCTGTGTTACTGGGAAAACGATGGTACCAACAGCTGAGAGGGGGAAGCTGTTAGAGGGGCAGGCTTAAGGGCCAGAGGATGATACATAGCCAGCATGAGCTGGTTGGTGTGGGTGGTGCTAGGACATCCACATGGAAATGTGTGGGGAGACAGATTTCAGCAAAGAGGTCTTGGCTCTGCCTGTTCCCTCTGTATATAAATCTAGCATATATAAATATATAAAAAGGTGTGTTTGTGTGTGTGTTCTTGTGTATAAATGATGAATGTGTGCCAGGTCTTTTAATAGTTACTAGAGATAAAAAGAGGGGCGCCTGGATGGCTCAGTCAGTTAAACATCCAATTCTTGATTTTGGCTCAGGCCGTGGTCTCACAGTTCTGAGACGGAGCTCGGCATCTGCACCAACAATGTGGAGCCTGCTTGAGATTCTCTCTCTCTCTCCCTCTCTCTCTCTCTGCCCCTCCCCTGCTCGTGCTCCGATTTGCATACCCACATGCTCGCTCTCTCTCTCACTCTCACTCTCTCTCTCTCTGTCTCTCTCAAAATAAATAAACATTGAAAGAAAAAAGCTAGAACACAGAGCAACCTCAGGTTACTGATCACATCATAGAGATTCGCCTGCCTACAAATGGTGGTGAGATCCTTAGTGGTGGGTACGACCATCCAAGAAAGTTTAAGATGCAATTGACGTGAGCCAATTACACTGGCTGGAAAAAGCCATGAATAGTAAGCGGGTAGAGAAGGAGGATCCACTCGGGAAATGTGTATGTACATCTAATTTCTATAACAAATGGTGATGGAGCTAGATGAGGTCTTTTCTGGCTTTAAAATTCTGTGATCATCAATCACAAATAAAACATACTTCATACAGTGGGGTAGAAAAAAGTAACCTTCTATAATTATCACACTGTACAGAGGACTATGAAGTCTTAAAAAGGAATTTTCGAAACAAAACTGAAGAGATGGAAGCTACTACAAATAAACTGAAAATGCAATTAAAATCTGCACAGTCTGAACTCGAACAAACAAGAAATACGTTAAAGTCGATGGAAGGATCCGATGGTCATGGTATGTTCTATTAGATTTTATTCTTCTGTTTTTAATTCCATTGGTCTAGATTTATTATAACACAAACCTGGATGCATTGCCTGGCACCTTTCCCGGGTTCTGGTGCACAGTGACAGGCACCAACGGTGGGTGTTAGCAGTCGTTCTACTCGGGGGTTTTGGGGGAAAATGCTGTGTGCTTAATTTAAGCCCTGAAGTATCTGAATCTTTCTTTTCCTGTGGCTGTTTTAGTAATCTCTAATAGATCTCAATGTCTATAAATGCCAATTACGTTTAAGGAAGTGTTGATAAAAATACACGTCACCAATAATTTTCATTCAACCCGTTATTTTTCACATGTTCATTACCAACATAAACTATAAATTTGTGGTTAATTGTCAGTTCCTGATTCCTTTTCTGCGATATAAACGGGATGAACCCTGGGAATTGAACGGCTGGCATGAGTGGTCCCTTTCACCCCTTGGACCTCTTCCCTTTGTCCCTTGCTGCCTGTATTAATTCTGAGAGAGAAGGTTATCTGCTGTTTTATATCATTATTTATTAGTGTTGGTATGGCTATATTAGCTGACTGTAAGAATAAGTAAGTCCTATATTTTTTATCTCTCAACATTTTTTAGTGTCAAAGATTTATTTCTGTGCCTGCTTCAGCAGCACATACATTAAAACTAGAATGATATAGAGAAGATGATCATGATCCCTGTCCAGAGACCGAATGCATGTTCTCGAAGTGTTCTGTATTTTGTGTAGTCCTTAAAGGTTCATCTCTTTCTTGCTTGGTGTTAAGCAGCAAGCAAATGGTGGGGTTTGGAGAAGTCGCTCAGGAGGCCCATTTGGGGGTCCGTTCCCTTCCCCCACCACCAGAGAGAGCCCTCTCTTCAGTGCCCTGCTGGCATCTCCACAACAGCCCCAGTCATATTACAATGATTCAATTCACTCAGTAATCCTGTTTTTGCATTCAAATGCTAATTTTTATTGATTAAAATTATCTTAAAATAAATGAGATTTAAGAAAACAAGCTTGAAGGCCAACCTTGATCCGCTTAATCAGACCAGAGTTCTTCAGAGTGCTTGAATTAGGTGAGTGGTGAGCAAATGATGTCAGACTGCTGCTCTGTTAATAGATTGATGTGCCATGCCTGATGAGCCCTGTTTCAACAGTTTCGCTATAGCAACTACTCCTTAGCAAGAAGTGAGACCTTTTATCCTCTCTGATGGTTTTTTTAAAGAATGGTACATTTTTTGGGTACCTGGGTGGCTCAGTCGTTTATGTGACCGACTCTTGATTTCAGCTCAGGTCATGATCTCGCTGTTTGTGGGTTCGAGCCCCAGGTCAGGCTCTGTGCTGACAGCCTGGAGCCTGCTTCAGATTCTCTCTTCCTCTTCTTCTCCCTCTCCCTCTCACTCTCACTCTCCCTTTCTCATTCTTTTTTTCCCTCTCCCTCTCCCCCGCCTCAAAAATAAATAAATATTTTTAAAAATTAAAAAAAAAAAAAGAAGAATGATACATTTTCTCTTTTCCTTTTAACCTCTAAGCTGTATCTGGACCTGACTCAACTCAAAGCCAGTGGCATTTTCAAACCTCTTTCCTGTAGGAAACAACACTGGGTCTCTGGCTTTGAATTTCCAAGCAAGGATGAGCTTCATACGTCTTTTCAATGCTCTTCCATATCTGAAGTATTCAGTGCCTACTACCTGCCCTGAACATTCTCACCCCATCACCAGTTTTACTAAAATAATTCCATATGTGCTAATGCTGCCAATTTTACTATTGAAATAGTAGTGAGTTCCAAGCACATGCAATAGCCGTGAGAATGAAAATTGAATGGTTTGTGGTATCATTGGAATCTTTAAAAAGGTCACTTAATAATAGAAGTCTTACACAATCACTTATGACATTTTTATAGGATATCATATGAAAAAAAATAAATAATAGATGTCTTTTGTGGGTTTTTTTTTGTTTCTTTGTTTTTTTTTAAGTAGACTCTACACCCAACGTGGAGTCCAATGCAGGGCTTGAGCTCACGACCGTGAGATCAAGACCTGAGCTGAGATCAGAAGTCAGACGCTTAACCTACTGAGCCACCCAGGCACCCCATTTGTGGTATTTTAAATACAAATTTCTAGAAAATTCTACATTCAGTATACAACTATTGTTATATATATATATTTGATATGTGTAAGTATGAATTTGATCAGTATTATATAACCATTGGAGATACAGCAAATTATGATGGTCAGTGAAATTAATACCAGTAGCAAGGAAATCACAAAATATCATTCTCAATTCAAAATCTCTCTGTAATTGCTGAAATTGTTATATCCCAATATTGTGAAGTCTGAAGGTTTGTTTTGTTTTGTTTTGTTTTTTCCCATGATCAGTCTCTTGAAACTGTCCAAGTGCTTTGGAGAATCTTGTCACCTTCTCATAATGTTTAACCATCAATTTATAGTAGCCTCCCCAAATTTAGACACTAAAAACTAAGGCAGTTTATTTTCTTTTTCCCCCCAGCTATGAAAGTGGCAATGGGGATGCAAAAGCAAATCACGGCTAAAAGAGGTCAGATAGATGCCCTTCAAAGCAAGATACAGTTTTTGGAAGAGGCAATGACAACTGCAAATAAGGTGAGTCCCTGTGCTCAGAATGAGGGAAGCCAGTGTGTTCACTCTTTAATATACTGCATGCAGGATAAGACGTAGCAGAGTTACCAAGTAAAATGGAGAAAAGAGTTTATTTCTGACTGAGAGAGTGAGGGGAAAGTTCCTGAAGGAACATTTGAGTAGGATTTTTTTTTTTATTGTTTTTAATGTTTATTTATTTTTGAGAGATGAGACAGAATGTAAGCAAGGGAAGGGCAGAGACAGAGGGAGACAGAATCAGAAGCAGGCTCCAGGCTCCGAGCTGTCAGCACAGAGTCCGGCTTGAACTCATGAACCATGAGATAGATTATGACCTCAGCTAAAGTCAGACACTTAACCGACTGGGCCACCCAGGTGCCTCTGAATAGGACCTTGAAGGAGCTAGTATTTTAAATGCAGAAAATGGACAAAGGACATTCCTGGTATAGACAGGGAACGACTATTAACAAAGCATGGGCAGTTCTGCTATAATGTGACACGTGTGTCTACAAAATTGTGCAGAAAAGGCCACGGGGGTTGTGAGAACAATGGGATTAGGAGTACCTCACTAACAAATTTCATCAATAACACACGAAAAGGAGGGACCTAATGAAAACTGGTGGTGCAGTTTTACATGTGTTAAATGGCTAAGAAATACATAAATACTACAAGAAATATGGTCCTTTATCTTGAAAAAGACCTGAAGTCTGCTTGTAGAAGTGTGCATCAAAGGGCTGCAGCTTGTGAGTTACTATGAGGGGGTAGAAGGGAGGTTTTTTGTGACACCAGATGTGCACGGATGTGACTCAGAACACAAAATAAACTGAGGTAGTAGCAGATTGGTGTTTGAGGAGCGTGCATGTGTGCTTTTTGTGTATTCCCACACAGCTCTGTTTAGCCGGATGCAGTTTTGTGTTGACTTAGTATTTCTTATAAGTGCAACTGTGCATAGTAAGTGTGAAACTTATGTTGTGCTCAAATGTTCCCTGATAGTTCAATCACTTTGGAACAAATCAACATTTGTAAAAGCGGGGTTTGTGAGCACTGGCTGTAGTGGGGGTGAAGAGGTATGTAGCGTATGTAGAAAGTGAGCGTGGGTCAGGCATTTGCTCTTCCCAGACCCAAAATGAACCTTTTTATCTTTTTTATTATTTTTTTAATTAAAAATATTTTTAATACATGTTTTGATTCAGTAAGTCCAGGAGTGGAGGAGCAAGGGATTCTGCATTTCTTTGTTTGTTTTTTTAAATTATTTATTTATTTTTTAATTTACATCCAAGTTAGTTAACATATAATGCAACAATGATTTCAGGAGCAGATTCCTTAATGCCCCTTACCCATTTAGCCCATCCCCCTCCCACCACCCCTCCATCAACCCAATGTTTGTTCACTGTATTTAAATTTTTCTTATATTTTGTCCCCCTCCCTGCCAAAATGAGCTTTTAAAAATGAAGCTACCCTTGGGGCGCCTGAGTGACTCAGTCAGTTAAGCGTCTGACTTCGGTTCAGGTCATGATCTCTCTGTTCACAAGTTCGAACCCCACATCAGGCTCTGTGCTGACAGCTCAGAGCCTGGAGCCTACTTTGGATTCTGTGTCTCCCTCTCTCTCTGCCACTCCCCTGCTCTCTTATAAAAATAAGAGAGTACATGGTGACATGGTTCTAATAGCTCCCAGCTCCAACTCAGAACAATTAAGTGACATATGAATTGAACTGTAGTTCAGATCTTTATGTTAGTTTTATATTTCCCTCACATCTGAGCATCTACATCAGCATATTATTTCTGGTATTTTTTTTCCTCTATAATTATAGGAAAAGCATTTTCTAAAAGAAGAGAAGAATAAATTAAGCCAGGAATTGAGTACTGTTGCAACAGAAAAAAACAAGATGGCTGGAGAACTGGAAGTCCTGAGATCACAGGAGCGCCGTTTGAAAGAAAAAGTTGCTAATATGGAAGTTGCTCTTGATAAGGTAGTTACTAAGTGTGTAAAGTAATCATCAACTAAATAGCTATTAACTGAGGAGACATGTTCTGAATAAAAGCTCCATGCTGATAGGAACCAAATCTCTACTAGATCCCAGTCACCTAGCGCAAGGAAAAACCATAGCCTATAGAGTAGAGAAGGCTCTTCTAAGCTTTAAAGCACAGTTATACTGTGTGCTTTTTACAAAATTCTTTTTGAGGCTAACTCGGTCACAGGAGCAGTAAGATACAAGATGCAAGATACACCTGGGGTCCTCACTGGACTGAATAAATAAATGTCTTCAATCTAACTTACTGCCACAAAATGACTTGAACACTAGGTAGAATACAGTCTGTTAATAATATCAGTAAAATGCTAACCTAATGCTAATGTCTGGCATTCATTGGAGTCCAGAAAATGCCGGTAGAAAACACAACTCAGGGGACACCTAGGTGGCCCGGTTGGTTAAGCGTCAGCTCAGGGCATGATCTCATGGTTTGTGAGTTCAAGTCCTGCAGTGGGTGAGCTCAAGCCCCATTCGGGTGAGCACGAGCCCCACTTCGGGTAAAAAAAAAAAACATTAGCCCTGCTTCTCTCTCTCTCTCTCTCTGTCTCAAAAAACAAAAACAAAAACAAAAACAAAGAATGAGAAGGGTTAGTGACATTGTATTTGTTATTGCAATGTATCATAAAGGCATAAATCTTCCTTGTGAGAACTCTGGAAGGCAAAAATATACCCAAACTAGTCCTGATTATTAAGAAATCCAGAGCCTTTATGGTTAGGTAAAATGACCTGTGAACCCACCTATGCCAGCTTTGATCTTAAAACATGATATGTTGATTTAATGAATTTCAGTTGTGGTCATTTTTTTACATTACTAAAGTGATTTGCTTATTCCATCCTTAGTTCATTCTTACTAAATGCTACATAGATGCCAGGGATACAGAGGGTAAAGGCATGGCCTCCAGTTCTAAGTTTAATGAACAAAACTGATAAGTAGATAAATGCAAGTTAGTGTGGGGGGGTTCCCTTGAAGAGATGGCAACTCTGTATTTATAGGTTAACAAAACAAAATTGTGTAGAGAATGGAAGACAAACCACATGTGGTTGTTTGATTGTAGGCATCTTTGCAGTTTGCAGAATGTCAAGATATCATACAGCGTCAGGAACAAGAATCTGTGCGCCTAAAACTTCAACACACTTTGGATGTAAAAGTAAGGCCTTTTTTCCATCAGAAATAATTCAAGTGAAATTAATGCCATTCTTTGATATACTTTTATATTTACTTCATGTACCTTGGACACAGTCAAGTGTACTTCAACATTATCTGATACTAGCAGTTCTAAAATCTGCATAAACATCATTATGTCTATACCTGTCCTCTTCCTATAGTAACAAATTGAAACACCGTACTCTCTGTTAAGTTTATAAGAGAGGCAAACACCTTCTTCAGGTATGCCATGGGGATACCTGAAGGAAGAATTTTCCACACAGAAGGGGGTCAAGCAAGTGCAGAGGTCCAAAGTGTGAGTGTGCTCAGCTTGTTTGGAGAAGAGCAAAAATGATTTAATCTGCATCACCAAAACATGTGTCCTTTAAAAACAGTGCATTTTCCACTGAAATTTATGTCTGCTTTCCAAGTATGTCTTAAAGTTGCAGACATACGTTAAAGTGTCCGTAATGGATACTTTTGCGGGCTGGAGCACGCGATAGTTGTAGAGGACCTTTCTCAGTAGTATGCCCCAACTAGCGTAGAGTCTTTGGCAAAAGTTAGAAACCAGCTAAGTAGTGTACCATCCGAGGTGTTTTCACATCGCAAATGCCTCTTTCAAAATCAGCAGTGTGAAGGCATCTTCTTAGCATATGCTTAGTCCTCAAAGAGTGACTCAGAATCATCTTGCTTTATAGATGTTCAACATGTAAAATTGAAATTATGTTTGTGAAATACGTTTTGATTTCACAATTGTAGGTGTAGGTGGACAATTATTTTGCTCACATCTATATTGTTTTCTAGGAACTTCAGGGCCCTGGATACACCTCAAATACTTCTGTGAAGCCACGCCTTCTACAGCCATCCTCAGCCACCCGTTCCCATTCTAATGTACCGTCATCCCAGTCCACAGCCAGCTTCCTGTCTCATGTAAGCACCTAGTCTCATAATCCATGATGCAAATGACCTAATATGTAAGTAATTTTAAATGGAGAAAATTTCATTTAAAAATATATCTATAGTTATAACATTTTCAATTACTGGATTGTAGATTTATACATACCAGATGAATGAAAACATTTACTTCACTATTTGGTGTTTCCCCTGGGGAAAACATGAATTATTCAGTAGGATTAATGTTAACAATAATTGAGTTTTTTTAAGTTTTCATTTTAATTCCAGTTAGTTAACATACAGTGTTATATTAGTTTCAGGTGCACATTATAGTGATTCAACAATTCCATACATCACTCAGTGCTCATCATGACAAGTGCACTCCTTACGCCCCCTCACCTATAAAAGCCATCCCTCACCCCCTTCCCTCTGGTAATCATCAGTTTGTTCTCCATTGTTAACAGTCTGTTTCCTGATTTGCTTCTTTCTTTCTTTTTTTTCCTTTCATTTGTTTATCTTGCTTCTTAAATGCCACATATGAGTGAAATCATATGATATCTGTCTTTCTCTGATGGACTTATTTCACTTAGCATTATACTTTTTAGCTCTATCTATATCATTACAAATGGCAAGATTTCATTCTTTTTTATGGCTGAAGTAATATTCCATTGTATAATATACCACATCTTTTTTTTTTTTTATCAGTTCATCATTTGATGGACATTTGGGCTGCTTCTGTATCTTGGCTATTGTAAATAAGGCTGTTTTAAACATAGGTTTCTGTCTCCCCTTGTATTAGTGTTTTTGTATTCTTTGGGTAAATACCAAGTAGTACGATTACTGGATTATACAGTAGTTCTGTTTTTAACTTTTTGAGGAACCTCCGTACTGTTTTCCAGAGTGGCTGCACCAGTTTGCATTCCCACCAAACAGACTGGTCATCTGTATATCTTTGGAGAAATGTCTGTTAATGTCTTCTGCCCATTTTTTCATTAGATTATTCATTTGGGGGGTGTTGAGTTTGATAAATTCTTTATAGATTTTGAATACTAACCCTCTATCAGATATGTCATTTGCAAATATCTTCTCCCATTCTGCAGGTTGCCCTTTAGTTTCGTTGATTGTTTCCTTCACTGTACAGAAGTTTTTATTTCAATGAAGTCTCAATAGTTTATTTTTGCTTTTGTTTTCTTTGCCTCAGGAGACATATCTAGAAAAAAGTTGCTTCAGCCGATGACAAAGCAGTTATTGCCTATGTTCTCTTCGAGGATTTTTATGGTTTCAGGACTTACGGTTTTAGGTTTTTAATTCATTTTGAGTTTATTTTTGTGTATGGTGTAAGAAAGTAAAAAAAAAAACTTTGCATGTTGCTTTCCAGTTTTCTCAATATCATTGTTTGAACAGACTGTCTTTTTCCAATTGTATATTCTTTCCTACTTTGTCAAAGATTTAATTGACCATATGGTTGAGGGTTTATTTCTGGGTTTTCTGTTCTCTTCCATTGCTCTCTGTGCTATTTTTTGTGCCAGTTTCCTACTGTTTTGATTGCAACAGCTTTGTGATATAACTTAAACTCCAGAATTATGATGCTTCCAGCTTTGCTTTGCTTTTTCGAGATTGCTTTGGCTATTCAGGGTCTTTTGTGGTTCCATACGAAGTTTAGAATTGTTCTAGTTCTGTGAAAAATGCTATTGGTATTTTGATAGGAATTGCATTAAATGTGTATATTGCTTTGAGTAGTACAGAAATTTTAACAATATTTGTTCCTCCAATCAATGAGCATGGGATGTTTTCCCTTTTCTTTGTGTTGTTGTAAATTTCTGTCATCAGGTTGTTTTGTTTTGTTTTGTTTTTTTATAGTTTTCAGAGTACAGATCTATCACCTCTTTGGTTAGGTTTATTCCTAGGCATCTTATTATTTTTGAGATTGTTTTCTTAATTTCTCTTTCTGCTGCTTCATTATTGGTGTTTATAAATGCTGTATTGGTTTTGTATCCTGTGAGTTTACTGAAAGTTCTCACAGTCTTTTGGTGGAGTCTTTGGGGTTTTCTATATATAGTATCATGTCATCTGCAAATAGTGAAAGTTGTACTTAGGAGTGCCCGGGTGGCTCAGTCAA